CAAGCGATGGCCTCCAACCTAATAGCAATGGCCTCCAACCTACAAGCTATGGCCTCCAACCTAATAGAAATGGCCAACCTACAAGCGATGGCCTGGAACATAATAGCAATGGCCTCCAACCTAATAGCAATGGCCTCCAACCTACAAGCGATGGCCCGGAACCTAAGAGCAATGGCCTCCAATGGCCTCCAACGTGATTGAAAATATGTTCCTTGTGCCTCTTCAAGGGCTGGGCGCTTCTCACGAGATAAGGTGGCAGATGATGAACTCGATATTGCCACTGCCTGCACCTTGGAGACACAACAGCAGACCAAGACAGCTCCACAACAAACCCAACAACACATAGAGCAAATAGCACAAGAACAAGAAAATGAAAAAGGATGGCAAGGCCTGGCAAGGCCCCGATAAACGGGGCCTTACCTTCCTCATTCCTCGTTGCGTTCCTTCCTTCTTATTTTCATTTGCTCTGCGTTCTTATATACTCTGTCTCTGAAAGCTCCAAGTTTGACACCTGCGGGGCTTTAGGAACATCAGCTGCTTGAGCTTTGGGAACGTCGGATTTCCGAGCAGAAGCAGAGCGAGCCTGAACAGTTCAAGCTATGCACACTCTTTCAACCTCTGAGTCAACACGGTTCAAGCCATGCAACCTGATAATCTGATATTGGAAAAGCTGCTTCAAATATACTTGATCCGTTTGTTGAGGCCCACCTGTTTGGTCGGTTGTGGAAGTGCACCTTTGAGCGGAGTAAAATGTCCAAAGCGGTCAAAGTAGAAGGCAATGTGCAGCTCGTGCTTGTTTGCCCTTGAGACTGAAGCGAAGGAAACATCTTTCTGACCCAGAAAGGTCAATTTGCTTTTTTGGAATGGTACTTTGTTACTAGTAGCGTCCTTGTTACTAGTAGTACGGCCAGGAGCCCCTAGTAGCGTCCTTGCTCCTAGTAGCGATGCCCTTTGTTCCTAGTAGCTTCTTGCTCCTAGTTGTAAGGCCAGGAGCCCCTAGTAGCGTCCTTGCTCCAATTGATATCAACTGAAACAATCACCTTGGTCGTCATGTGTTTGCCTTTATTTGGAGCACAGGTGCCCATACCATGCGGCGACCTCTCTGTTCTTAATTCGAAGTCCCCAATCACGGTAGTTGTCATTATCCACCTCGGCAACGTTCTCAGCCCATGAACCTTCCACATCCTACCAATCCTCTCCCTCAAGAAAGATCTCACTGTCTCAGTGTGTGCCCCCCGCATTCCTTCAGGTTGAACCGCTCAGTCTGCGTACCAGGCGTACCAATGATGCAAGATTCAAGGGCTGCTAAAGTGTCACAACTGAAGCCTATTTCAAGTTCTGATGTGCGGCAGTGCGCGAAGACTCCAAGTGTCCTTTCGGAACTTCTATTGCAAACAAGTGTTTTAGCCTCATCAAATGACGAGTGCTTTTCAGGTTCATGCAGCTGCGCTCGTACTGGAGGTAGAAAAGGGGCAGTCTATCTGTCTATCTAGCACGGCTGAGATCACCCGGCTCACCCCCAACAGGTGCGCAGGTCTGCGCAACACCCAGGCTTGAGACGAATCAAGGAACATCACAGATTGACACAGCACCCATTGCATCCAAGAAACAAATTGGCACTTGTATTTGTACGCTTCCAAAATGGTTGAAAAATCATCATTGTCACGCATCTCATCTCTCGAAGGAATTACAACCAAAGCATCATTCAACCTGGATGGTTTATGCGATTGTATCTCTGAAAGCTGTTTCGCAATTACAATCATGTGTTGTCCAGCAGGCACAAGGTTCCAGTGCTTCAACACAACACAGGAGCGGCCTGCTGTTCTGCTAAGAAGCTTTGCAGAGACCTGCTCTCTTCCAGCTTTGTGAAGGAGCCGCTGACCAATGATCGCATGGACCACAAATCCTTCTTTGTCATAGAAACTGCACGCACGCTCCACACCTTCCCATGAAAACTTGCTGCCTGCACCACGTTGTTCAACGTTCTCTCCGAAGTCGCAGCCAATGTTTGCACAGTTGAGCACGACGTGTCTTAGCTGGCTGGAAGCTGGTGCCTTTGTCTCTATCGGTCCTTAGTGCAAAACCAATTCTGTACTGTTCCTTCTGGTTTGGTTTGGTTTGGGAGGTTATCCGCACATTGGCATATGACATCAGAAACCCACCACAGAACAATCGGAAGACCGAATGACCGAGGACAAAAACTTGGGGAAACTCGATTATTGCGCACCGTTGACGAAACTACAGGTGAAACACAACCCAAACATGTTCAAGTCGGTTCCTGGATTCTACGACTTGAAGTTTGAAGCGTGTTTATTTGAGTTCTACATCTGATTTTTGAAGTATTCATTCAGGTCTCCACGCGAAGCTGGTCTTGCAGGCGCTAAACTGGCAACTTTTCTCCTGGAAAGTGTCTGGACATGCGAATACCAAGAGATTGATGGAAATGTGTTTGGCAAGTCTTGTCAACAAAAAAACACGCCCAAACACAATGGAATTGTAGTAGGTTTTTATGCCCCTTTTGACAACAAAGGCGCGCAGCCTCCTTTCCAATTTTCTAAGCTGT